ATTCCTACGGTAATTGCTGTTTCTAATTAACCAAACGAAAGGTTCTTGCTCTGGGTTTTGCTACCGCGGCTTTTTCTCTCTCTCTCTCTCTCTCTCTCTGTCTGCGAGCGACGCAAGAAACGCACGCTCTATAAGTGTGGAACTGCTAGAATGAGTAGGTACATACGTAGGCTACTATGCTACACTTTCCTTGGAAAAGTTTCGCGACTGTCGTCTCTCTGTCTCGATCGACGCGAGAGCGATATCGAGACCACACTGTGCACCGAATTACATGGAAAAAGCTGGGAACGGTTTCGTGCTGAGCGGAGAGAGAGAGAGAGGGGCGTACGTAGACCCAGCTGCGGGAAAATTAGCCGGCAAAAGGGGACCTAGCGAGATAACTGCTAGAGACTGGGCAGAATTGCCAGCAGGCTTCTCGATCGTTTCTTACTTTGCTGCACACACCACTCTATACTACCGGTCCGCACGCGATGATCGAACGAACGAACGACCTAATGGAGGGTTTCTTGACCGCGTGCCGTAACGTCGCTGTTTATTAACGCGCGAGCCTAACGTTCGCCCGCTGGCTTTTCTTCTAGAGGAGAATGTTGGCGCGCAGCTATGCGACCGCTCGTATTTGAACCGTGGAGACGGTCGATATCAATTAGACGGTTTTTGCCGCGATTCCGCGGCCGTATCGGCGGCTCGTTTATACGAGGGTGGCGACCACGCATCACCCGCGGCGAGCTTCGGCGAAAAATAAATCGGCGCGATCGCCGTCGTCCCCCAGAAACTTTCTCGTCCTCGGCTCGTGTTGCACGTGAGAACGAGCCGAGCGGAAGCAGGACGAGGTATCGTCGCGCAAGAAAGGCGGACAGAGAGCGAGGGAAACAAGAAAAGGAGCACGGGAACGGGAGTCAAGGAACTAGAAATGAATTCCATTTGTGCGATTGAGAAGGAACGAGCCGGGAGAGAGAGGAGAGGACGGGATAAAAAGGGCTGGCACGACGTCGGTCGCGAGGGTTACCTTGCCTCGTGGTAGACGCTGCGAAAGCCAGAAAGAGGCGAGGAGAAACACCGTCAGCCAATGGATAGAAAAGAGGATGAGGGATGAGCGGGACTCGTGGCGCAGAACGAGACGCGAATAGATTGTAAATAAGAGAGAGGGGGGGCGGGAACAGCGCTGGATTATTCTGAATCGAGAGGAGCAGCCAGCCACTCGACGAGTTTCTGCATTGTCGGTACGCTACGGGCCGCCGCAACGTGGTACGAGGTGTTGCACACGGCTTTCAGGTGTTACGGGGATATACTATACACGTACGTATACCGTGCGCACGTGTACGCACGCGTACACGCAACAAACGCGTACCGTGTACCGATCGGTGATCCATTGACTGGAACCTAATAGGGGTGGGGGTGGGGGATTAACGGCCTCGAAAATCAACTTTCGTTCGTCACCCGTTAAAGAAGACACCATTTCGGGTAAGAGGAACGTGGACGTCGGCGGAGTGTCGATGGATGGAATTGGTTGGTTAGCCGCGGCGATCTGGCCGCCGATTAAATTTGCAATGCTAATGGAACTTTATGACTGCGGCGATTGAGAGATTAGAGGCAATCTAACGTCGGATCTGTGTTCGGACGATTAAAAATTACGAGAACCGATCAGATACGCATCGTTAATACGATACCCCCGGAGCCTTGCCGGTCGCAACGCGATCGGGGACGCGAACACGATGCCTCGCGAGACCTTTCTATTAAGATCGTAGATTCAACCCTTCACGGGAGAAATTTCGCGAGACGTAACGAAACGGGGGGACCTGGTAGCCGAGACTCGCCGAGAGTAGAGACGCGAAAGGGCGAGAATCAGTAATGAGTACGTTACGGGTTTCTTGGTTGGCTCGGGTGCCGTCGCAAAAACTCGCTCTCGATTCGATCCACGAAGCGCGGAGACGAACGGACGAAGAGGAGCGGAAAAAGGAAGGAAAGGCAGTGGCAAGGAAAACGGTCAAAGGGGGAGGAGATGGTGCGGAGACGACGGAGAAAGAGGTGGAGACGTGGGCCACGAGAGCTCGGAGGGACACCGGGCTGGACCTGCGATCTCCGCGAATTAATCAAATACGCGAGCGATTTGTCTTCGTTACACCCACGTGGGCACCCCGGAGGGACGCCTGTGCAACCGGGGTGACGAAGCCCTCTCGAGTCAGCACCGCGGGTGAAAAACCCGTTCACCGACTGCGTCTACCGCGCGCTCCGATTGCAATTTATTCCCCCGATAAACGAACCAAGGGGCAAGTTTCATTTTCGCGCGGTGAACATGAAAAGCTGAGGCTCGCTTTCGAATAACTTAATTGAAAGTTTATCACGGAGGAAAAACGTGTTGCCGTTGCACAAATAGAACGATCGCGTTTATTTCTATCGTCGGAGATACATTGTCGATTATATATCACCGGCGAGTGGTCGGTCGGTTCGTGGGGCATCGTTCTGAAACGCGTCTCGACGATCCCCACGGACACACGCGGACGATTTTGCCGTATTGGGATGCGAAGTAAATCGTAATTATATACGGAGAGTAGTACGGGATCGGTGGTGGATCCTCCTCCCGCGGTGAGAGTCGGTGGAAAAAGATCACGCGGACGTTTAATAACACGGGTACCGAATGCTGATGGGTGTAGGTAGAGCGTGGCGATGTGCGTGTACATACGTCTTCTCTGCTACCAACCACCGCACTGTATTTGCACGCGCAATCTCTCTCTTGCTCTCTTTCACCTATACGCTATTTTACAATTACACTTGAAGCTACACAATTTCGTATAAACCTGCTTACCTTTACACGCGCGAGGTACAAAGGAGGCTTCTGCACGTACGATCCTCGTCCACATTTACATGCGCGGGGACGAGTTTCCAACAATTTTAATAACACGGCTATCGAGTGCCGGTAAGCATAAGTTTCAGTCGGCTGTGTCGGGGCGCGCTCGCGAACCTCCTTCGTCTTCTTCTTCTTCTGCTTGAGATCGATATCGTACCGATGGTAGCGGTGCACGCCAGCCGATCGCTCGCGCGTTTACAAGCGTAACGTGTGCGTGAGACGTTTGAACGCGCGTCCCCGTGAAATGTTACGTACTCACGCAGCATACGTACCCGAGAGCTCGTATTAATTTCGCTTCTCTGGTCTGTTCGCGGGTTCTCTTTAAGTTCGATCGATCGAGAAAACGATGATTCTCCTAATCCCCCGAAATAGTTTTGGCCGGTGGTTGTGAATGTGCGTGAATTGCGCGTGATCGTCGTGGAAGAGGTAAAGGGATATCGGAGAGGGTTGAGGTAGGCAAGGTAGATAGGGTATAAATAGCGAGCCATAAATTATGCCATCCACGTCCGCGGCCGAGTACCATCTTTAAGGCACAGTCCGAACGAGCAATGTCGTTGGATGTCAGCGAGGAGGCAGCCGGCCGAGGAGAGCCGCGACGGAGCTGATGTTACCGGATATCGTGGAAATGGAAGCGCTGGCGGCTACCTTCCACGTAAACCGACGGAGGCGGTGCCTACTCCTTATCCCCGTCTACCAGGTTTTTCCTGCGGTCGGGAAGGAAAAACTCGATCGGTTCCATGGGAGACACGATCGCAACGCGGTAGATCCGTGGCGTTTGTCGAAACCTATCTAGAGAGGACGTGGATAGCCGCATTCCCCTTTTGGATCGAAGTGCGATCGATCGATCGGAGCAATTATCGTCGAGCATCTCGTGGAATGGAAAAAAGGAAAGGTACCTATGTCTACTCTATCAGATGAGTTGGAGAAATCGGCCAGCTTTTTTACGCCGTCCGGTCGTTTGATACGGACGTGGTGTCGCGGAGGAGAAGGAAAAATGAGTCCTCTCTTCGGACTTAACAAAGGATCGATCGAGCTCGTGGTAAATGTCACGAAGGTATTCTCTGTCGCGGGGGGGTAACCGCGAGACAAAGCGGTAACGGTTCTCTTCTACGTGGAAGACGATCTAGAAGCCTAACGCGAGAACAATACCACGTGGGATTCCGCGTGGCGGCGGAACATCCCTATGGTTCTTGGCGCGCGTCGAACGTGGGCGGACAGGGAACGGTACTCGTTATGCGGCAAACATGCCCTGCTCTCCCGTCCAATCGTTCATCATGCAATTGCGTCTGCCAGCGGTAATGATTGCTCGATTTGCCTATTAATTGATTTCGTGCAGTGTATATATATATATATATATGTACACATGTATAGATACACACGTATACGTAGGTATGCACCTAGTCGATTTTCTTGGTGCAACTCGCTCGAAAATATCAGGCAACGTTGGAAATTAACGTTGATCTCTTCGCGTGTAACCACCGGGTCATCGATCATACGTCCTGTCCTACTTCTACGCGTCCGTTTCGACTCCCGTGGAAATTAGTCGGGGGAGAAAGGGGGGAGAAGAAGAAGGGGAGAGAGTGGAATTCGCGAGTATGCGTGCACGGGGCAATTGGTGGAGTCGTTAAAGGATGATGAGTGCTGTATACGCGCGAGATAGGTTTTTGCAGGACGGTATTTAGCGAAATCGCGGTCATTCGATTCAATCAATCGATCACACAGTTCGAAGCGGCTTGGAATCGCGCGGCGCTTCCACTGATTGCCAAGATTTTCGTGCAATTTGCACCCCGAAGGGAAGGGAAAAGAGCAAAAGGCGCACGTGAGAACAAGCTGAAGTTGTAATTAACGAGCAGCCTGCTTATATAGTATCCGAATATACTTTTTCATCATTTTTGCGCTTTCAGTCTTCTCTCTCTCCGCCTCGTTTCCTCTCTCCGGTGTTCCGCCTTTAAAAGAAACCAACGAACCGTTGGTTCGCTAAGGTCGAGGAAAAAAATTAATACGAGGTTTGCATCGTCCATTTCACGGCCCTTTCTCCTCCATCAAAGATTCAAGCTTCCGATGGTCGTTCTTAAAACGATCATTATTTAAAAGAAAAGTACAAGAAAAAGCCACTTTGTACGACATTTAATAACGATAATAACTGTGTTCGCAGGTGAACGGCCAACCAGATTTTATTTGGTGAAGGAAGAACCGGATCTAACGATGGATCCCAACACGGGCATGCTCCGAATTCGCCATCCGTTGGATCGAGAAGCACGGGACAAGTACATTCTGAGCGTGGAGGCTCGCAACGGAATATCTGTCGGCTACTGTCAGGTAAAAGTTCTCCGGCACACTACTGCAAAAACATCAACTACCGCCGCGGGAGAAGAAACCTTTGTAACTGAACGCCGCGTTTGTATCGTTTCTCCGGTTAATACAGGTGGAACTGAACGTCGAAGACGTGAACGACAATGCTCCTACGTTCCTGGCGACCAGCGTCCGTATTTCCGTACCAGAATCTCACCCCCTTCACACGGCTCTTTACGTGGCACACGCGACAGATCCGGACGTCGTTCCGTCGCATCCGATACGTTACGTGCTTGGCCAAAACAGCAACGATTTGTTCGGAATAGACGGCCGCTCGGGAGAGCTCTATTTAGCGAGGAGATTGGATTACGAGACGCAGCAGAGGCACGGTCTGCTGATAAGAGCGTTGGACGGTGCCGGTCTCTCCGCGAACCTCAGCCTGAGCGTGGAGGTTCAGGACGTGAATGACAACCCCCCAGTGTTCGAGAGGAACGAGTATCACGTGGAGGTTCCCGAAGGCGCCAAGCTCGATTCTCAAGTGAGAAAAATCTTCATTACACGCCCGTCACGCGGGCATTTGTTTGCCGAGGAGACGTGCGGTGGGATTCCCTTTGGTGTGCATGTACTACCTACATGGAAACACGGTGGGGGATGGTGAGAGAATAGACGGGCAGGAGGGAGGGAGCGAGAGAGTTCTGGATCGGTGGAAGGAGGACAGGTAGAGAGGATTTAACAACCTTCCTCTGGTGTTCCTCCGCTCTTTTTCTTTCCACAAAGTCGTCTTCGCGATGCGTAATTTCATCCGGCGGGGCAACCAGGAAGACCGTCCACGCTGCACCTTTGCTCCCACTCGGATCGATGATCACACCCATTCACCTCCCATTCCCCCCCTCGCGATTAGACGCGGCGAACAGAGTGGAAGAAGACGTTGACTCATCGAGTTCACCTTGTCAGCGGAGAACAGAAACGAATTAGCCGGACGCTACGGCGCGCGAAAGATTAGTCGATGGGGATTGCGAGGAGGTTACCAGACAGACCAGTTCGGTGAAGGGATTGATAGAGTATAACTGATAGTTTGATAGAGGAACGTACACGTACGAGTATACGCGCGGTGTATCACGGCCATCTACGGAGCCGGGATTGATAGGTAATCGTTTATAGGCTTAACAGAAACGCGGCGGCGCGCAGCTGCTCGTTTTATGAACAACCTATGCCTGTTTATTCCGGCTGAAACGGTTATTTATCGTGGTTAAACACCATTACCTGGGCGGTTGCTCGGAATTCTCTCCTGCGAAAACTAGGTATCGAACATCGGTCACGGAAGCGGCTGTTTATTTCGGGTAGGCTAATTGTCGTCGTCTTCGTCGGCGAAATGTTCGCCTAATTACTCGAACAATGGCCGACAGATGGTAATCTCGTTCCCTTGATTTTCGAAGCATCCTGTGCACCGAAACGGCAATTGGCTAAATTCGAGGATTGAAAAGAGACGGAGGAAAGAGTCGGCACGTTCGTCATTCGAGGCCGTGGAACGAGCGACGAACAGCGATTCCTCGCGATGGTAGCCACCGGTGGACGTAATCCCGAATACGAGGATACCGATGACGAATGGCCGGGAGATGGTTGCCGCGAGATAGGCTCGTTAAATGACGTCACATTTTTAATACAACGGATACAGGAGGGTAGTATACGTATAGAACGGAGAGGAGGCGGAGGATGAGAGAACAGCACGTTCCTCTTTCTTTCTTCCTTCGCCGCTCGATCTTTCGTTCCATCTTTCTCCCGAGTATACACGTATAGTATATCGGTGGTATCTATCGGCGAAACAGATCTGTGAGCTGTCGGTGGTATCCGGACAATATCTTAGCCGCGACCATGCGAGAAACAAGGAAGGCAGTAATCGGCGGAGGGCAATACAGAGGGAGGGGAGAAGCAGCAGCTAGCAAGAGTAACCTGGCTACAGTGAGCGTAACCTTTCACCCGCCGCGAACTAATAACGTACAGTTAGACACATTACTGGCTGCTCCCACATCAGGTTCTCCTTCTAATGGTGCCCGATCTCTACCCCCTCCCTCTTCTACCGTGCCGCCATTTCGT